TCTACTCACTCATCTCGCTAGTCATCTTCATCAAGGAATCCGAAGTCCGAGTTACTCAATCACAATCACCACCTGATGCGACCATTCTTCAATCTTGTGATCTCCTAATACCATTAGGTATTGTTTTTTTTCCAAATTTTTTTTGATTAAATTTTAATTTCATTACCGTGCTAAATTATTTTATTTAAGTTTATAAATTTTTATGAATCTTTTTGATTATCGATCTTTGTGACGGCTTTATCTTGTGACTATCAAAATTGATGATTTATGTGGTGATGGTTATGAAACTCAGGGGGTATTTAGGCTTGAATGGGTTCCGGTAAGCTCTTTTGGTGTTACCATTGCCTTCAAGAAAAATGTTATTGAAAATGATAGAAATAGAATAAAGTAGATACAAACATTAAGATGATTTTTTGTAATCGCCAATTTTTCTCTTCCCTTAAATGCAAACATAAAGAAGGTTTTGTTTTTAAAATGACGATTATCATCTTCCATTAACCATTATATTTGCTATTTTTTTACTAGTTTGATTATATCTACAAAATAATGTTGTTGGTTTAATAATTTAATTATTTTATTAAAATAATAATTTTTCGTATGCCCATATGTTAAATATTCTATAGTTAGGCCCTATCTCGCTTTCCAAGTCTCATTTGGATGAGGCGTCGGCGCTACTAAATGCAACTCTCATTTCAACATTCTTCTCTATTGAGCAATTCAGCGAAGAAAATGTTAATGTATGTCTTTCAATCTCTCGGGTTATCAAAAATGTTACGTTTTTCAACCCCAGATTTGTTTGAAAATACCGGCAAGAATTTTTCGACCTGATTAAATGATTGTTGATTGGCTATTTCGGGGTTCCATGCCCATGGATTGCCTAAGATTTTTGCAACAGTATATTCTAAAATTTAAAAGCTTTTGTTTAATATTTTGCATATTTTCTAAAGTTATGGAAGGACACTTGTATTATGTCAGAATGTTTTTATTTTATAGTGTATTCTGTCAGCATGTCTTGGTATAAATACATTTTGTCAAAATGTCTTCGTATTCATATAAATTCACTCTTTAGATTAGGTGATGTGAACTTTTTCTATGGTTTGATCAAGTGACCTTATAAAAATGAATCCTCTCAAATTCATTTTGGATTCAAAAAGAAGATCAAACGCATTTTGGATTTTGTTAGAAGATCAAGTGCATTCCGGATTCTCATAGAATATGAAGTCATTACAAGGAGACGAAGACTTTTACAAGACTTTCAAAATTCTTTTTTAGGATTTTTTATTCTTTTGATGTATTTCAGTTTCTAATTGTATTTTTACTCCATTTTTGTAAAAGTGTAAACAGATTCCACAAGAATATACTTTACATTAATATTTTTAACATTTAAATGTTATGTTATTCAATGAAGAATGATTGAAGAAATGATCTTATATTCGTTCTTACTAGACAAAACCTCAAACTTTTAATGTTTAAGACCCTTTATTAGTTTATGGATTGCATTCTCATAAAATGTCATCCTAACAGAATGTCATTATGAAAGAATAAATTTGGTTATTATTAAAATTTCGAAATTGAATTAATTATCAAAAACTAATTTTCAATATGAAGATAATTAATTATCATTGAAATCCACAATTTTCCTTTTTAAAATCTTGTTTAATTAACTAAAATACCATTATAATGAATTTTGTATGATTATATGGTACATATTATTCCACTGTATTATCATACACCCTCAAATCATAATCATTCATTCTTTTAATCTATTGGTTCAACATTATCCCTACGACCACACAATAAATATCATCCATATTATAACCTAACTATATATATATATATATATATATATATATATATATATATATATAGATTCTGTTGACATTAAAAATAAAATAGAGATCTTGATAATCAACCTCAGTCACATATTTCAAGTCTGTCGCTCTAACTCTCCAGCGTACCGGCACGGCATGTATATTATAATCATAAACAAGGCAAATGCATGTGCAACGCGCAGAAACACCTATATAGTTGAAGTCTTTACAACTATATGATTTTTTTAAATATAACAATAACGTTGTTATTAAATTTGATATAATAATATGTATATACTAAATTGATATAATATATTGTTATTGTGAATTATATGATAATATATACATTTATTATAATTTCATAATCTCAATCGTTTGAATGATTTTTACCTGTAAGTTACACATGAATAAAATTAAATATAATATATGATTTGATGTTATTTATAGTTGTTTTTACTGTTAATTAATTTTTTAAAATTTATTTGCTTAATGTTTTAATTTCTATCATTATAATTATTTAAAACATCAAACATTGTTTTTTTTTTTTTATTATTTTAAAGCTAACAATATAATCATTTATATAGAGTTGTTTCAACTATTGTTATTATAAGTTATTTTAAGCTACTTATTTGAAAACTTTTAACGATTATAAAAATATATTTAAAAAATATTTTAGTTAAATTGAGATTACAATTTTGTTTTTGCTTTTACCACTTTTAACTATTTACAAAATATTCTTTAGTTTTTTTAAATGGAACTGAAATTTATATTTGAGTTGACATTGTAATGTGCAGAAACACCTATATAGTTGAAGTCTTTACAAATATATATTTTTTAAAATATAACAATAACGTTGTTGTTAAATTTGATATAATAATTCGTATATTAATTTGATATAATATATTGATTATTTTGAATTATATGATAATATATAAATCTATTATAACGTCATAATCTCAACCGTTTGAATGACTTCTACTCGCGAGTTACACATCAATAAAATTAAATATTATATATGGTTTAATATTATTTATAGTTGTTATTTTTAACTAATTTTTTAAAATTTATTTGCTTAATGTTTTAATTTCTATCATTATAATTATTTAAAACATCAAACATTATTTTTTGATTTTAAAGGTAACAATATAATCATTTATATAAAGTTATTTTTAACTATTGTTATTATAAGTTATTTTAAGCTACTTATTTGAAATTTTTTAACAATTATATAAATATATTTAGGGAATATTTTAGTTAACCGATATTACAATTTAGTTTTTGTATTTCTCACTATAATTTATAACTTTTAACTATTTATAAAATATTATTTGGTTTTTTTAGTGGAACTGAAATTTATATTTAAGTTGACACTGTAATGTTATATTTAAGTTAACAATTTAAGTATTTTGTCTAAACTGTTCAAAAATTATAGCTTCAAACTGATAATGGTTTACATGCAACAACATTTTAAATCTAATAAATTAAGTACAATATGTTAAAATTTTAAGAAATAACTTTCTAAATAGAAGTAAATATATTATTTTAAAATTGAAATTTAGTCTATTTATGATTACACTTTAGGTTTGATATTTATTTTACCTTATTAACCAACTTACAATCATTATTAGAAAGACACTACAATTTATCGCTTTTAACTATTTATAAAATAATCTTTGGGTTGTTTAACTTAAATAAAAATTATATTTAAGTTGAGCCTATAATGTTATATTTTAATTAATAATTTAAGTATTTTATACAAATTATTCAAAAATTATACCTTTAAAATGATAATGGTTTACATCCAATAATATATTAAAACTAATAAATTAAGTATAATATGTTAAAAGTTAAAAAACATAATTTTATAAATAAAATTAAAGATATTATTTTAATATTGAAATTTAGTTTATATATGAATACACTTTAGATTTGATATTTATTTAACCTAATTACTAAATTATAATTGTTATTATAAAGAAATTGAAAAGTCATGGGAGTTTTAAATGAATGTGGTGAAAGGAAAAAAGAATGGGGGTTTCAAATGCATGAGATTCAAGAAAAAATGCTAGTTTTATAAGTATGTATGATAATTATATAGCGTCGTCCGTTCCTTTCTCCTCCACCACCATCCCCACCACCACAACCACCACCGCTACCACTAGTACCACCACCTCTGACACCAACTGATCCCACCACTGTCACCTCTATCTCTTATACTACGATACCTGTGTCACCACCATCTTTTCTACTACCAACTGTCATAATCATATATGATTACTAAGCCAGTGAACATACATATATGTATAATCATTTATGATTATGCATACATTGTTGTTGTCGGTACACTGAAGCGTTAGAGCGGCAAACGAGGAATGTATGACTCAGGTTGAATCTCTCTCTCTCTCTCTCTCTCTCTCTCTCTCTCTCTATATATATATATATATATATATATATATATATATATATATATATATATATATATATATATATATATATATATATATATATCGAGTATTTATCATGTATACTAACACTTCTAATTAATAGATGCAAACAAAAAAGGGTATGAAAATAAAGCTGGTTTTTATGTATAATAACATGTGGATTAGTATTCTTTATGTATTTATACATTCAAATACGCTTACAAAATTTAGAAGTGAATAAACTTTTATTTAAAAAAAAAAAAAAAAAAGATAGGAGGATTACGCTATTTTAACTTTTATTAACATATAAACCCATTTACATTTGATTCACTAATTTTTATGAAAATTATAAGCACTATTTTCAGCCATAAATTTAATAAGTAAAAAAAAATCAGTATCTTATATTCACAATAACAAAAATGTTGGAAAGTTACAAACTGTATCCATAGAAATTCTTTTATTGGAGAGCTTGAATAATTCAATTTCATTGTATCGATTTTTTTTTTTTTTTTTTTTTTTGGGAAATGGATGTGGTAGTTTTCCAATGCAATAGAAGTCAAAACGAAATGAAGATCACAAACTCCGGCTCTACCATGCGGAGAAACTCACATAGGATTGGCAGAAATGTTAATGCTAAAAACAAAACCCCCTTTCATTACAACCTCCGCCCATTGCTGGCTTACTGAAAGCACCTCTTTTGTCCAAATCTTCACATAAAATCACCACCTTATTACCCCTGTTTGCATTTCAACCAAAATCACCCCTCATGAGCCGACAACCACCCAAGAGCATCCCACTTACCGCCAACATGTCCTCCCCCGGGCAACCAAACACCGCCACTATTGCCGCCTTGAAAACCAGAAGTTCTCGAACAAAATTTTGTGGTGCATTTGGTGATTGCATGACAAAACCTACCATTGCTTCTTCACCACCTCGTCAATCTAACTCTAGACTCGAACTTCAGGTACACCCTTTTCCCCTGTTTCTTATGCACGTCAGGGCAGAATAGAATACGTTGTACTGTGTTTGGTATGCATTAGACTGAGACTGAAACTGATATCAATGAGACTAAAGTTGTAAGGTTTTTTGTCCCGCTCAAAAAGGTGTAACAAATGCAACATCATTAACAATGTTGTGTTGATGCTCGTTAAAGGTAAATGTGTAGAGGATAGGATACGACGGTCAAATGCTATTTTCAATGATGGGAAGAGGGCATTTATGTCTTTTTTTTTATAATTTTTTACAAATGAGAAAACGAAAGTGAGTCCCTGTCCAACTGTTTTCCACCTTTTATGTGGAAAAAAAAAGTTTTAATTTTTGCATCATTGACATTCTTGCATTTATCATTCCATTCCATACCAAATATATTACAATTGTTATATCTTTGTCTAGTCGTGTATAATAATCAATATCTTATGGTTGTCGTAGATATACCAATCCGTATCGTTTTTCTAAGAAAATTATTAAAAGAAAGTAAAAAGAAAAAAATTGGTTTTACTTTACAATTTTGGTGATTCTGGTTTTGGGGTTGTGAAATTATTTTAAAGGTGGAAGAGCTACACAAAGAAGTGAAGAAAGAGAAAGAATTAAAGTCTATGTACAAGATAAGGCTGGAAAGAACACAAGATTACCTAAAATACTGTCTACAAGTAGCACAAGACAACGGATTCTTAAACCATATTATTAACAAAAAAGATAACCCTCAAGAATCGTCTCCTACTTCCTCATCTGCCATTGTTCAAGCTTCTACAAATCCTCGAACACCACCAAATGTCCAACAAAATACCAATCTTTTAGCTCTCATCGAGCAAGCCAAGCTCAACGGATGGTACATTGATCCACATGAGGTACATACATCAACCCATGATTTGTGTAAAAAGACATAAATACCCTCCTCGTCATTGAAAATACTCTAGAAAGCTTCTTCGCTTATCAATGATACAAAAATTCCAATCTTTGTCTATCTACGTCATAACAATTTTTGCAATCTTCGTCTAAACAAGTCTGTAAAACTTTTATTATTAAGACAAAGATTGAAATTTTTTTGTCCCATCCAAAACGGTGTAAAAGTGTGTCCTTCTTGACCTCTCGCTTGTATAAAAGACATAAATAACCTCATCATGATTGGAAATACCCTGTAAAGTTTGTTTAGTAGACTCTAGTCATGTTCAGTGTAACAAACACATATTATTATAGTAATACATTAGAAAAAACAAATATAATATTATGAGATTGATTTTATTGTTTTTGCATGGTGTAAGATTGAATTACACAAGAAAGTAGCTCAAGGGAGCACGGCGGAAATATACAAAGCAACATGGAGAGGCCTAGAAGTCGCAGTGAAATGCATATTTCCTGATTTTTTCAGATTAAACGATTGTGGCGTTAGCTTCTTTGCTCAAGAGGTGGAAACCCTATCAAGACAACGACACACATACGTACTCAGGCTAATGGGTGCGTGTCTTGACCCACCGAACCATGGGTGGGTGGTTACAGAATTCATGAACATGACTTTGAAGGATTGGCTACATGGTCCGGGTAAGAGGAGGAAAGAACGAGTCACCCCACTTCCTCCTTTTGAAGAGAGATTAGCCAAGGCACTAGAGATTGCTCAAGGGATGCAGTATTTACATGAGCATAAGCCTATGATTATACATAGGGATTTAAAACCAAGTAATATATTTATGGATGATGCGTTTCATGTGAGAGTTGCGGATTTTGGGCATGCACGATTCTTGTCGGATGAAGAAAAAGCGTTTACGGGTGAAACGGGTTAGACTTCCATCTTTCTTCCTTTGGTAACAAGATAGGACATAATGGTCTTATACTGCGTTTAATGTGCATTGGACTAGGACTGTGACCGATGCCAATGAGACAAAAAAAAATGCAAATTTTTGTCCCACCCAAAAAGGTGGGACATGGATTCGCGTTCGATTTCCCGTTTGTGCAAAAAGACGAAAATGCCTTCCTCATCCTCATCATCAAGAATAGCCTTAGAAAGCTTGTCTAGCCCTGTCTCGTGTAACAAATGCAGCCGTAGGCTGCATTTGTCATAAAATACAAGACCGGACCAGACAACCTTTCTAATGCTATTTTCGATAATGAGGATGAGAAGGGCATTTTCGTCATTTGCACAAATGAGAAATCGAGAGTGTATCCATGTCTCACCTTTTTGGGTAGGACAAAATTTTGCATTTTTTTTGTCCCATTGGCATCGGTCGCAGTAGCAGGTCCAATGCACGTCAAACATAGTTCAAAGGGAGACTTATATTTTGTTTTCTTTAGGGACATATGTATACATGGCCCCAGAGGTGATTCGAAGTGAGCCATACGATGAAAAATGTGATGTTTTCAGTTTCGGAATCATACTCAACGAGCTTCTAACCGGCAATTACCCATACATAGAGACAGACTATGGTCCCTCCAAGGTACTTAACTAAAACACACTACCATATCACCACAAGTTAATTATTTCTTCATTTAGGACTTTTAACAAACAGTTGGTGTGCATTTGTGTTTGATGAGGAACAGATTGCATTACAAGTTGGGGAGGGCAAGATAAGGCCAGCACTTCCAGAGCATGAAGATAACATTGAAGATTTAATTCAACTGATTCAACTCTCATGGGATGAAGACCCTGAATATAGACCCTCTTTTGGTACAATTACCCGGGGTTTGACAATGATTTATGATAGATTTATTAATGCCCCATAGAATTTTCCTTTTAATACTTTTCCAACATTTTTATACTTGTATTTTATTGTACCTTGCTATTAGAAACACTCCACTGTAGACTTAGCAAAGAATTTTATATAAATGTTCCACTTACTTTTACCAATTTATGCAACAATGTTCCATTTTTTTAATAAAGGGGAAAAGACATAAAAGGACAGAAGAAACTTACTTGAGATAATTTGATGACTGATGGAATAAAAGTCAAAAAGTCAAAACAATCCAATCCATTTCTTGAAAGTCAACGCAGCCTCCCTCCTACTTATCTGAGACTCTGTCTGAAACTTAGGAGTCTTCCCTTTACAAAACGTTTTATGATACTTCATAAAAAGCATTCGATACTTATATTTATCCACAAACATTTTCCCTTTTTCCATCATCTCAACAACTTCATTAGCCCGAATAAAAAATCCACCTCTTACAAAAGTATAAAGAACAGAATCCAAAAGCTCTTGATCAAACTTCATGCCATGATATAATCCAAGAACCTTCATTTCACCCCAAAGTTCAGTCACCTCAGTATACTTCCCTCCAACAGCAGCATATCCAGTCACTAAAGAATGAAAAGTTTGAGCATTTGGTGTATACCCTAAACTCCTCATCTTTTTCAGAGCCTTTTCAGCATCTTGCATCATCTTCTTCCTACAAAAGAAATGAATCACATTGTTCCAATCATGAACACCACAATCAACTTTTTGTCCTTCTTTGATTTCTTGTAGAAGCTTTGCCATTAGTTTAGCTTCTCCACTCCCTCCACATCCTTGAACTAACATATCAAATTCTTGTTGACTATGTTGACTAGTGTTGTCTAGTTTAGCTTCTTTCATTTCTTTAAACAGATTTAAAGCTCCTTGAGTGTCTTCATCAATCACATGGGATTCAATCAGTGCTTTGTAGCAACTAGCATCTAGCTGGAAGCCACCTTTACGTGCATCTCTAAGGAGTGATTTTACTTCTTGTGTTTTGTTTTCTTTACAGTATGCTTCTAAAAGAGATGAATAAACAGAAGATCCGGTTTTGAAACCACTCAGGCGCATTTCATCGAGCAGGTCATGTGCGTGATCTAACCATCCAAGAGAAATGCATGAATTCACAACTTGAATCAAAGGAGAAGAATCAAGATAAACTGGGGAATCCTCTTTCTCTACCTTGATTAGAAATTGAACTAAATCTTTTACCTTGTTAGCTTCCAAGAAACCTTTGACTAGTTTCACAAAAACTGTGTCTGTTGGTTGGAGAATGCCATGTTTGGTTGTGATCAGTTGCTTTTTGTTCTGAAACTTCATTACTGAAATGTTAAGTAGTTCTTTAGCTTCTTCTTCAAGTTTTAGAAACTTTCTATCACCACAAAAATCTTCATAATCCAAAGTCTGGGGTATCATTGTCTTTTCAGGAGTCAAAGTCAAACTCTCTTGAGACTCTATTTGAGGACATTTGTCCATTTTCTTGGCTTCAAATCTAAAAGTAGCAACACCAAGAGAATCTTGAGCTTTCTTTGCCTTCTTAAGCATTTCAAGAACCATCTGAGAAGCAGATTCTAAATCCCCAAATTTCAAATGGCAAGAAAGCAAGCAATTATAAAACTCTCTAAACTGAACATTACTCAAATCATGGGCTTCATCAATGTATCTTTTAAGTTTTTTAAGCTCTTCTTTTCGTCCATTCTGTTCATATACATGCCCCATCATGATCAACATGATGACATCAGTTTTCACACCAATTCGAGGTATCATATCCAAAAGCTGCTCTGCTTTTCTATTTGTCCCAAACAAAAGACAACCCCCTAAAGCAATGTTTACAGCAGTTGTATTCGGCTTCATTGCAATGAGTTCTTCATTGATCTTTTTACGTGGGTCCACTCTTCCATCTTGAAACAGAAAACCAATCTCAAGAACCAATTCAGCTGCCAGATAAGCACCAGATGGAGTTAGTGACATGTGTGCTAATATAGCAGACCAAGCAGTGACTGGAGGAAACTGTTGGGTTTCTACTAGCTTTCTTAAAACAGTTGCTGCATGAACAGGTAGACTGGCTTTTGCAAGACATAGTGATAGATATATGAGAGTTGTTTTTTCTAGCAAATTCTGTTTGTGTTCTTCAATGGCTTTTTCTACTAAATGATATGCCCTTTCGAGGTATTGAAGTTGTAGACTTTGGGAAGAAGTTGTGAGAAGCTTGTTGACAACAGATTTTCTGGGAAACCCTTCCATGTTCATGTGTTGTTCGTGTAAGTTCCAAGCTTCATTAAGTTTATGTTCATCGAGTGCATTTTGTATCTCCTCACTTAGCTTAGCAGGGTCTCTAGCTTGGACCAGGATTGTGCTGGCTATGGTTGAAAAAGATTGCCATGGATAGATATTTCCAGGCACAACTTCCAATGCCTTGTTAGCTGATTGATGAAATGCCATGCTGCGACAAGAATATCTTGTAATCTGGGCGTTAAGATTACTGATGGAGAACATGCCTTGAATGGCATAAAGAGCTTTTGAGTTCCCATATCTCAACTTTCGTAGCAACATCCCAGCAGTTTTGCTATCAATGCTCTCAGGGGAATTTAATCAAACACTTGGTGGCCCCCAACTTGGTAACTATTAATCCACATACCGAATACGAAGGGATGACAAATCAAGTCAAATGCCATAAAGTCTGCTTAGAAGATACCATTGCCAGCTCACCTACGGTTTAGTCTTGCTTAAGGAGCCCTGTTCGTACCAGCGGTGGAAGCATCTGACATTGCTGCTACTTAACCACCGCTGTAGCCTGTTCCAGAGTAAATTCAGTAACTTCGTAGACACAGATTAGATGCAATGAACGACGATATAGTGATTCAGTTTTAGCCTCTAAGCCTTCTTGTTATCGTGTGTTACATTTCAACGACGATGGCAATATATAGTGCGATAATAGGTCAGCAGGTACTGGGGTGTAATGTTAGGTTAGACTTTAGAGGGTTCTGGTTGGGGCGTGGCAACCTTGGACGAGGGGCACAAGTCTTGGTGTGCGATCTACATCTAGTATTTATGGGTGTTTTCACAGCGAAAATCTTTTTTTTTGTAAAAAAAGGAAAAAAAAAAATTTGCTACACTAGTTTTAAAAAGTTATTTTTGAAGTTTTTATATAAGGAAAATCAATTTTTTAGAAAAATCAGAAAATTCTGATTTTTTTGTAACTTTTCCAAAAAAAAAACTTTTAGCCTTTAAGAAGTTAAACCAAACACCCACTTAAATTATGTTGTGTCATACTTGCCCACTAAAAGTGATTTCACATATCTCATTTTTGTCGTACCTTTTCAAAATCTTGTCATTTAGGCCATCCACAATGGGTATGAAGATAGTTGTCGTGGTTTAGATGGCCACCAACCACAACCATGTATATCATTCCGGATTCCTGATGCCTCGTCGTAGTGATTCGTGAAGCCAAGACATAAAACGGCCAATGAAACTTATTTACTCTTTTGATTCTTCCTTGACCATGTAAGGGATAGTTTGGACATTTTAAAAAAAAAAAATTGCGTACTATTTACCTATAAATATCAATACAAACCTTCTTATATTTTACATAATTATTCTTGCATTTTATTCACATTCACACCATTTGTGTTGCTTTGATCTTTCAAAAACCATGGCTCCCAAAAGGCTGAATTCGTCGGAAGAGGAAAAAGAGAATTTAGCATAAGTATGGGTGTCATTTTCGGAAGATGGAGATAGTCAGATCTCTTGAGATTTTTAGCGAAAAGTTCAAAGCATTTTTATAGCTTAATGGGTTGTCAAAGCCGAAATATTGATGAAATATGTTCAAAGTGGCACGATACGAGGGTAAAATGTTGCGAATTCGATGGAATTTACAACTTTGTTATAAACAATATACACAAAGACGATATCGCTCAGTTTATTGTGGCCATGCATCAATACAAAAATGCAACCCACAAACCGTTTTACACATCTTATGTAACATTAAAGTTATGATATGTTTCCTTTTTAACCCTTAATGCTAAGTTCATTTCATTTTGGTCTGTAGCTAGTACGCAGGGCGTACTAGCTTTCCGATTGATCGCGGGTTCACAAACGTACACTCGGCGTACAGAAGGTTTGGGCAAACCCTAATTTTTAGGGTTTGTGTCCTATTTAAGCAACTTATACCACCTTTGGACATTCTATTGATTTGCTTCCATTACCCTATGCCCTTATATCGAAACCCTAAGTGTATTTGGTGGGATTTGAGCTTGAAAGTGAGTTTGCTGGTGTTTTGTGGTGAAAAAGAAGAAGAGGATCACTTAGAGGTTGCTTCGTAGTAGCTTGAGCTTGTAGATCCAGAGTTATCTTCACCTTGGCAAGCATTTTGGGGTAAAAGCTCTCATCTTGATGGTCCCTTATCCTAGATACATTTTATTGCGTTATTTATGCATTTTTTGGTCTTTTAAGTCATATATGAAGTTATGGTCTAGTCCAGAAGCTATGAATGCTAGATCTTTGCTCATTTGAGGTCCTTTGTCCATAAAAATGCAAACTTTATGTAAGATATTGGTCCATGCAAGTGTTAAGTGTCTTATTATGCTTCTTTTTTAGTGTTGGGCCCCATTAAGTTATGTATGGGTGTAAAGCTGTCAACTTTACGTATCAAGTCGCCATTTAGAATCAGATATGAGAGTTTAGCATGTTGGCTTAACCGATTAAGCGCTTAATGGGTTGCTTTGGTAATATGGGGAGTACGTTGGGCGTATCCAGTTGAAGAAGTACACTAAGCATACGAGTTGGGTACGTCCCGCGTGCTTAACATATTGACTTTTGAGTTGACTTCCTTGGGTTTGGGGTCCTATTTTAGGCTTTTTGTAACACCCAAAGTTTCAAAAGCCATGAAAGGAAAGAAAAGCCCTAATTAAAGCGCCGACTCGGCGAGTCCAAGGAGGGACTCGGCGAGTCCGAGCGGGATCCGGGTCGAGGTGTAAGCGACCGACTCGGCGAGTCGGTCAAGGTGACTCGGCGAGTCTGGTCTGTGCGTGGAAAACCCTAAATTCGGGACTTGGGGCCTATATAAATGTCTTAATCTTCTTCCTAGGGTTCCTTACTGCCTCTTTAGCCTTGGATATCAAACTCTAGCCGTCATATCTCCTAGTTGAGCCTTGGAAGGTGCATTTAAGCTTGGAAAAGGAAGAAGGAACTTGGAGGAGCAAGAAGGAGCTATAGATCTGGGATTGTGAGTTCATTCTGAGCACTTAGAGGTAATAAACTAGTTCCTGGACTCTTTTGCACCTAGATCTATGTGTGGTTGTTGGGGCTCTTTTGCCATAATGTTATTATTTTGGGTTAGAAGCCGGATCTGGAGTTGCTACTTTAGATTCAAGTGTTTTAGGGCCTGGAGGAGCATAAAGTATCAGCCATTGAGTCGATTTTGAAGTCCCTTGGCCTTACACCCTAGTTAATGGCGTATCTTGCCTAGATCTCCTTCTCTACACGTAAAGTTTGCAACTTTACGTGTGGAATAGGCTTGGGAAGGGTGGATCTATAGTTTGGAGTCCATGCATGACTCAAAAATCCTCTGCATGTAAGGAGATCTGAAGGGACTCGACGAGTCCTTTGAGTGGACTCGGCGAGTAGCATGAAGTTTTGGAGAAACTCGACGAGTGGGATGAACAACTCGTCGAGTCGTATGAAGATTGCCTTGGACTCGGCGAGTCAGGTCGCAAAACCCCAAACCCTTCGAGTTGTGACTCGAATCAGTGAGTCGGGTGGAGACTCAGTGAGTTGATCAGGTCTGGACTCAGAAATCGGTAGACTCGGCGAGTCATGGACTGACTCGGCGAGTCGAGTCGCGAATGAAAGGAATCTAATCATTTTGAACTCGGCGAGTCAGTAGGGTGACTCGGCGAGTAGGGTTGACCTGGAAGGTTGACTTTGACCAGGACTTTGACTTTGGACCAGGGTGGACTTGATTGTCTTTCGGGGGTCAGTTAGACTCAGTGTTGCATTGATATTGGTAGTTCGGGGAGCAGGAGTTCCGTGAAGTTGTCGGGAAGCAGCTAGTGAGATCATCAGCAAGTTCAGCCAGTTCAGGTGAGTTTCCCTTTGTGTGAATGGGTCTAAGGCCACAATGCCGGCCCATGTAGTTATGAGTAGAAGACCTGGGGGTTAGCCCTAGGCACAGTATGCTAGCATTGTTTGCAGTACGAGGTCCAGTAATAGCGGGCGGGCGCCCAAGGAATTGTTTATATATGATAGTTTATACTTGTTGTCTGTGTGATACATGTATGTACCTGGTAGGGAGGTGAGTGTGGGCGAGGTCCCGTATCTCACCAATAGCAGAGTGTGGATGGGGTTCCATATCTCACTAGTAGCAGATTAGGGGCGAGGCCCGAATTAGAACAGGAGTGAGAGTGGGCTAGGCCCGTACCTCACTACCATTAGGAGCATGGATGGGGTTCCATGACTCCTCAGTAGCAGGACATGGGCGAGGCCCAGGAAAGGCGAGGCCTTAGGACAGAACCAGTTGCATGTGTTAGTTATGTGTTATGAATGTTTATGTGTTATTATTTGTTGACGGGCGAGGCCCTGTGACAGGCGAGGCCTAAGTAAAACAGATCTGTATCCGAGCGGGGCTCGAAGCCAGGCGGGGCCTGGAGCGGCGGGGCCGTTGTAGCGGGCGAGGCCCGTGGTAAGGGGCGAGGCCCAAGATAGGGGGCGTGGCCCAGTATGTGCAGTATGTGGTTATGCATGGTATGTGGTAGGGTGGGGAACTCACTAAGCTTCGTGCTTACGGTTTTCAGTTTTGGTTTCAGGTACTTCCGGTAGCGGAGGGAAGAGCTCGGGGTGATCGCATGGCACACACCATAGATTAGACAGCCTGGGGATGTTTACTCTGATAACGAACATATGTTTTGAAAACTTATACTCATATTATGTTTTGGAATGATGATGTTACTTTAAGTAATGATTTATTAAAGAAATTTTTGGTCTTAAATTTTGGGTCGTTACAAGTTGGTATCAGAGCCTTGGTTTGAGGGATTCGGGCATACTCTCGGGTGTGCCTGAACTCAAACTGAGGGGTCGGATAAAAAGTTTTCAAAAGCGAAAAGATAGTTTTGTAAAGAGAGTTCTGAGAAAGAAAACGGCTTTATAAAAGTAAAAAGAATTCAGAAAGAAAAGAACTTGAAAAGAGAAAAGAGGTGTGGTGCATGCAATCAACCGAGCTCAAGTAAGTACCCCAAAATACCCATACAAGTTTATATTTTGATTATCAGTTAATAGAGCAACATGCTAGATTAGGACTAAGGATCTAGGGAGGATGCCTTATGTGCCTGTTATATGTGCTTTTGATCTGCATGATAGTGCCGAATAGTCAGTAGTAGGATAGCCTGATTAGGTTATGCCTGAGTTATGAGTTGTGTTGCATGCTAGTTCAGATTCTTGCTATGTGGATATGATTGCTTGAGTATGTCATGGTTAGATTTTCCCTTGTCTGAATGCTGCTTGCTTTGTGCATTGGGATTCTAAGTGATGGGAGTTAGCCATTAGGTGGATACGTCACG